TTCTTTCTCTCCCCCGTCCCCCTCGTGCGAGCTGTTCACGTTCTGAAGGCGAGCTAGCGGGCACACGTAGGCGCGCGTTCTGACGCGACAGTGGTCTCTTGGGCGGAAGGAGAGGAAAGGAGGGCTGGCTTGTTTCTGAGGCGCGGATTCCCTCTCTGTCCCCGCCTGAAGTTGGAGGCAGGAGCTGGCCCTGAGGGGAAATACCGCGGCCCGCCTTTTCTTGTTTCCAGCCCCTTCCCTCTTTCTTGGACTGCCATCCCATCCCCCTCCTCTTCTCTGCCCCTCGTCATCCAGCCGCGGCCTCCCGACCAGCCTCCTCAGGCGGCCGCTCGGTTGCCAAGCAACGCCTCAGAGAAGCGGCACCGGGGAAACCGCCCCCCCCCGCGCACTTTGGAAGTTTTCTGAGGCAGTTCGGGCCTCTGGCCGCCTGGAGACGCCGAGGAAAGTGGGCGGAAGGAGAGTCGACAGGGCCTTCCCTTTTTAGCTAGGCAAAGGCTGATCCTACCAAGCTCAGCTCTGCTCTGCCTTCCCACCTTCGGAAGCAGTTTGGGAGTGAAAGTTTGTGAGTGCTTGGCAAACCTGGAAGCCAATCTTGCACCCCAGCCTTCTGTTTCTCTTCCCCCCCCCACACACACATATATTTCCCATTGTGCAATCCCTATTTCACTCTGTCCCCCTTTTGATTTGTGGGTTTTTATTCCTCCTTTGTTGTGATGCAGCTTCAGAGCTCTTTTGCACCTTTTCTGCAAGATATGGCCAAGGCAACACGACAGCACGGTATAGTTTAATTTGTGTCGAGACTTAAGAGTCTGCTCTACAGCATCTGGCAAGTTGAATTTGAGTATTGTACAACAAAACAACTTTTTCTCCAGTAGTGGTATCCTCAAAGACAGGTAGTGATTGGTGCATAACCACTTTGTGTGCCTTTATGTACGTATGTAGAGTCAGAACCTAAGCCTGTAGTTTTGCATCCCTGCCCCACCTTGGCTATTCATCTGCATCATTGTAAATTACAGTTTTTATTCTCACTGTCAGGATCTGTAGATACGCCAGAACAAAGCAGCCAAATGGGTGGCACTCCAGGGCATTAGGGAGAAGGAAGAAAGTTGTGCCAATTGTTTACTCTTCTTTTGACTCAATGGATGTTGTTTTCTACCATGTTTCCTCGAAAATGACAGGGTCTTATATTTTTATTCCAAAAAAGCCCATTAGCACTTATTTTCAGGGGGTGTTTTATTTTTTCATGTGCAACATTCTACATTTATTCAAATAGTCTTCTATCTGGTTCCACAATGGCGGAGGGCGAGTTTTCACTTAACTGGGGCTTACTTTTTGGTTAGGGCTTGTATTTCAAGCATCCTGAAAAGTCATATTAGGGCTTATTTTCAGGGAAACAAGCTAAATAGGCAGAAAACAAACAAACTCAGAAGTTTCTTTAACAGCAAAACAAACTAAAATGAGTCTATTGTGCTTTAGGCACAAGATTTATGGAAAAAGCTGAAGGCAGCAGGAAAAAAGGAAGATCCAAAGATCAATAGGGTTCTGGCCATTAAAAAAGAGAGAGGCCGATTTACCCCTTCCTTGAAAATGCAGAGTTGGTGGACTCTTCCTTCAATACTTTGTTCTCACAGAGGTAGTGAACCTAACTCGCTGCTATCAGGCTGCTCATTTCTCACTGTGACATTTTTTTTTTCAATTTAGAGAGATCCTTTGGGGCTTTTTGACATAGCTTTTTAAAAAAAGCACCAGCCTAAATAATGTGCCACCCTTTCTCTGTGAAGTATTCCTGATATCACGTGGGAAAAAATAGAAATATCAATGCATTACAGCTCAAAGGAAGAGGGTGTTTCAAGGCACTGACTGCTAGAAGGAAATTGGAAATGCTGTGGAGATTCTTTTAACCAGACCATTTGTTTTGGAAGGACAAAATGTGGAGAAAACAGTTTTTAATGTCTCTTGGTAAGGGAAGTGAGGCAGAGATTTATTGGAAAGGAAGAAATGACTCCTAGTATAGTGGATAGAGTGATGGTCTAGGACTCTGGCAGGATTTGAATCCCCACTAGGCCATGGAAACTCACTGGGGAAGTGGAAGTGGTAAAACCACTCATTAAATATCCCACTTGCCTTGAGAGCCTTATTAGAGTTGCTATAAGTCAGTTCCAACTTGACAGCATAGACCGCACACACACAAAGAGAGCAGGGTTGATGGGAATCTCTTGCAGGGAGGTCATGCAGCCAGGGTTTGCAGGGTTCCCAGGGACTCTTAAATTAGCAGGGGATATAGCATACACCCCACCCCACTCAGGCTTCCCTGTTCACTCTGAGCTGAGCTCCAGTCCTTAGAGTTTTGGGGAGAGAAACAGATTAATCCAGGAGCAAGAGAGTGTTGTAAGTAAGCTATGCCTGACACAAGGAAAAGTGTTCAAGGGTGGCTTGGGCTTGAAGGAACAATTCAGAGCCATCAACTTTACAAAAGAGTTGCCAACCACAGGAAAACTGCATATGTTCATCAGAACTTGCTTAGTGCCTACGTTTGGAGTCAATGACTTCTGTGCACCTGCTTTTCACAACCACCCTTTAAAAATGCTGAAATGTACCCTGTAGTCTTTTCTTAGGATTCCAGCAGCTGAGAAATTAAAATTCTGTTGAGCATCTATCAGCTACAGTAGTTATGGGGGAGGCAGATTTTGGTTAAAAATGAAATTTTGGAACATGGTTATTCCGTTAGCAAAGTACAAGGCAGAAAAACACAGCAGTGGAAGAGATTAGCGGAGGCTCACCAACCCTCAAGAACACATTTTGCCCTTTTTGTAGCAATATGTTCACTCTGGGTGCAACTTTGGAAGAAACAGGAGAAACGGGATAAAATGAGATTTCTAGCATGAATGGAGGACTCCATGTTTGCTTCTTGAGAGATGGTCAGGGAAGTAGAGGGCAAACAACAAACAGATCTAAGATTATATAACAAAGGAACCAAACAAACAGGAAGAAGGGACTTGCCCAATGCCAGGGAACTGTATCCATTAAACTAGACATAAACAGGAGAACACAACAGCACACTTCTCCCACTGACACTCATGACATTCGGTATTTAGTCATGCAAAATGGCAATTTCCCCAACAGAAGTAACTAAAGTTTGTGAAATGTATATGGTGAAAATGAATTGGGCAGGCTGAAGATCTCTGGAGATTTAAAATAAGACTATCTTGAAAACTAGCAAGAACGCAAATAAAAAATGAAGATAAGGATGTTGGTACATTTTCCACTAAGTATGCTTAATGCACACATATTAACAACTGTACATTGTTTTATAATCAATACTAATTTTGAACATTGCTCTGTGTTTTTCCCTTAGGGCCAAAACTTTCACTAGATGATCGACTGCTAAAATTATGTTCGCAGTTTTCCTTCACTAATTTTTTTTTCTTGTATTAACATACACTGGGAAAAGATCTATGTATCTGCACCTTTGTGGATTCTTGGCATTGAAAACAATGCAGTAATTACTAGAAGCCAACAGAGACTGGTCAAGAACAGATCCTTGCCAGACTAATCTTATCTCAGTTTTTGATTAGTTAGCGTCCCTGGTTAGACAGTGTGAATGCTGTAGACATCATATATCTTGACTTCTGTTTCTCTCCCCCCCCACACACACACACATTGCTGTAGACATCATATATCTTGACTTTAGCAAAATCTTTGACAAAGTGCCCCATTATATTCTGATTAACAAGCTGAATTTGGGCTAAACAAGCTGAGTTTGGGCTGAATAAAACAACTGTCAGATGGATACACAATTGGTTACCGAATTATACTCAGAGACTGATTATTTCCTTCTCAAGTAGGGTGCCACAAGGCTTAGTCCCAGGCCCTGTACTCTTCCACAATTTTGTCAAGTAGGGTGCCACAAGGCTTAGTCCCACGCCCTGTACTCTTCCACAATTTTAATGAAATTTAACAGTGGTGAGTCCAAAGTTCTACACCTCGTGGGGTGGGGAACAGTTACAGGAAGGGGGGATACTTGGCTCATTAACACTTTGGGCAAGAAAATGAAATTTAACAGTGGTGAGTCCAAAGTTGTACACCTTGTGGGGTGGGGAACAGTTACAGGATGGGGGCTACTTGGCTCATTAACACTTTGGACAAGAAGGATCTTGGATTGTTGTGGATTACAAGCTAAATATGAGCCAACAGCGTAATGTGGCTGCAAAAAAAAAGGCTTATGCTATTTGCCAACAGCGTGATGTGGCTGCAAAAAAAAAGGCATGTGCTATTTCAGGCTGCATAAACAGAAGTCTAGTCTCCAGGCCTGTGAAATACTAGTTCCCCTACTTTCAGCACTAGTTAGGCCTTATCTTGAATACGGTTTAGGATATTGCACTTTCAAGAATGATGCCAAAAAACCCAGAGCAGTGATATTGCACTTTCAAGAATGATGCCAAAAGATCTGGAGCAGTTTCAAAGGAGGGCAACAAGCGTGATCAGGGAACTGGAAACCAGGCCCATGAGGAAAGACTGAAATAAAGGATATGCTTAGTTTTGAGAAAAGAAGACAGAAGAGGGATATGATAGTATTTTTTCAAATATTTGATAGATTGTCATACAGAGAAGAGGCAGGATTAGTTCTCAATCATACCGGAGTACAGGACACACAACAGTGGGCTCTAGCTACAGGAAGGCAGATTCAGATGACTATCAAAAACTTCTTGTTAGAGTGGTGAGTACTCCAGCTCTGGAAGCATACAAGAGAAAATTAGGGAACCATCTGTCAGATCTACTTGGATATGGATTCCTGCATTGAGCAGAGAGTTGGACTTGATGGTCTTTTATGCATGCCCCCCCAACTCCATTATTTTAAGATTCAAATGTCTTGTCTGCTTAAAGAGCTTTCCACACACTTAGCAGTTAAGCAGTGTCACCGCATATCCCTGTACTCACTGATGGGAAGCAAAGTCTGCGACCTGACGGAAGCCCTTTCTGAATTTCCTGATTTAAAAGATTTGTTCCCAACGTGAATTCTCATGTGAGATCTCATATGAGACGTAAGGTGTCCAGTCTGACGGAAGGTCTTTCCGCACTGTAAGCATTTAAAAGGTTTCTCTCCTGTGTGGATTCTCATATGGGAAGCAATTTTTCCACTTTGACTGAAGCTCTTTCCACATTCCAAGCATTTAAATGGTTTCTCTCCTGTGTGGATCCTCATATGGGAATCAAGGTTTGTGCTTCGACTGAAGGTATTTCCACATTCTAAACACTTAAATGGTTTCTCCCCTGTGTGAATTCTCATATGGGAAGCAAGATGTGTATTCTGACTGAAGCTCTTTCCACATTCTAAACACTTAAATGGTTTCTCTCCTGTGTGGATCCTCATATGGGAAGAAAGGTTTGCACTCTGACTGAAGCTCTTTCCACATTCCAAACACTTATATGGTTTCTCTCCTGTGTGGATTCTCATATGGCAAGCAAGGTGTGTGCTCTGACTGAAGTTCTTTCGGCATTTGGGGCATTTAAATGGTTTCTCACCTGTGTGGATTCTCATATGAGAAGCAAGAGTTGTGTTGTGACTGAAGGTCTTTCCACATTCCAAGCATTTAAATGGTTTTTCCCCTGTGTGGATTCTCATATGGGAATCAAGGACTGTGCTTCGGCTGAAGCTCTTTCTACATGCCATGCATTTAAACGGCTTCTCGCCGGTGTGAATTCTCAAATGGCAAGCAAGTTTTCCCCTCTGACGGAAGCTCTTTCCACATTCTGAACATTTAAAAGGTTTCTCCCCACTGTGGATTTTCATATGGGAAGCAAGGTCTGCAGTCTGACTGAAACTCTTTCCACATTCAAGACACTTAAAAGGTTTCTCCCCTGTGTGGATTCTCATATGGGAAACAAGTTTTCCACTCTGACGAAAGTTCGTTCCACATTCCGAACATTTAAAGGGTTTCTCCCCTGTGTGGATCCTCATATGGGAAGCAAGTTTTCCATTCTGACTGAAGCTCTTTCCACATTCCAAGCATTTAAATGGTTTCTCCCCTGTGTGGATCCTCATATGACGAGCAAAGTTTGAGCTGTGACGGATGTTCTTTCCACATTCCAAACATTTCAGTGGCTTTGCTGTGTGGAGGTTACTTCTACTAATGAAGCTTTTACTGTGCTCTAAGTATTGTTTCTGCTTTTTATCAATGGCTTTTCCCGAGGATATGCTCCCTTCTCCTTCTTCAGTTCTCTTCTCTCTCTTATTAGTAACTGAAAGAAGATGACAAAATGGAAAATTAGAGTCTCAGGTCAAGGATCAAAACTAACCGAATGTAAGAGAAAATACAACATTTACAGAACACAGTTGAGGTAAGAACTGTCATGCATGTGGCCTACCATCTTGAGTTTCAGTTGAATAATTGGTTTCAC